TCTCATCTTTTATAGGTGGTCAGCAGGTAGGTACTGTTTATCATACAACTAACTACTGGGGCACTGGAACATACCTGGACTAAGAATTATTTTGTCTTGTCTTTATATTCACGTAAATCCAAGAATCCCATCTAAAACACATAAATACCTAGTCTGAAATGCCTGTACTTCCCCAACAAAATCAGAAATGAGGTGGGGCAAGTAAAAGATGGTTCTCTATGTAGATGTTAGCTTTTTGTAAATATCGTAACTGGTGAGTATAAAGTAGAAATAAGCATAGTTAGACATTTGTTCTACAAATTGTTAACCTTTAAAAATATAATTGCTGCTAAAAATAGTGCTGTTACACTTAAGGAAAATCAGTGCCACTGTTTTGGAAATGAGCTCTTGTGCCATAAATGCAGCTGAGCTACATGGGAGTATTAGTTCACAAATTAATGCTGTCAAAGGAATGAGTAAGACAGAAAAACTTCAAACCAGTGACATTTCATTCTAAATTATGTAGTGTGATCAGACATGGTCATCCAGAATTTTTATATTTTTCTGTACAGAGGTTATGTATTCTGGGTGTTTTTTAAAAGGAAGTATTTAAAATCCCACAGATTGACACTTTGTATCAATCTTCAATGGACTGAGTTTTTTTTCTCAGCGGTCTCTGAAGTTTCTTTAAATTATATACTTAACACAGCAGAGAAACTGGATTGTTTTTGTACATAACACTGTGTCCACCTGAAATGTCACAAGTACTGGGGGGCTGGGTATCTTGTACATGATATTCTTAGAGGTAATAATGCATGAATTTATTTTATAAACTCTTTGACTATGTATTTGACATGTAAAATATGTACAGTATTAATGTCAACCATTTCTTAAAGGTAAGCCTATAAATATTGTTGTATAATTTTCTTTGGTCAGTGACATTTGGACTAAATAGTGCCACTTGGGTCAGGATTTTCTTCAGTGCCATTTAGCAAACCACCTGTCTTTGGTCTATGCAACTAGCAAAAATTTGTATAATGCATCAGAACACTTCAGAGTTGTCACACTTTAAATTTCACATGAAGGGTTCTTCACTATTCTGGAACCCAGCCTATCAAAATTAGAGGAAAGGCCCTAAGATTTATTTCTATTAAGAGAAAAAAGCCTACATTTACAGGCTGAACAGTTGAATCTACTACAGATAACAAATAGTGTCTACTATCTCAACCCTCCAAAGTTTACAGAGTGTTGGGACTGTCATTTGTGCTTTCTGTGGGGTAGTTGGATAAAATTGGGCAGCTAAAATTCTCAGTCCCATGTGCCTCCTAAATTTAAAAAAAAAAGCTGTAAATTGACTTGCAGACACAAAGTAGCAACTAGCCTGCATGTTTGATTTTGAGTTTTCTTAATTTCTTCCTTTTTTTTGTAAACAGGTGAAATTTTCCAAATAGGCACATGCCGTTCAATTTTCTGTCAATCACATAGTTGTATAAAGTAGCAAAACTGAAGGGGGAATGATTGTTGTATACACTTTACAATTGCTTTGCATGGTCATTTGAGATAATTGGTGTAAGAATCTTGACTTTTTTTATATTTGGAAACATCAAATAAAAAAATGGAAATAAATTGTTGTTTTTTTTAAAACAGTTCTAACAGTGTCCAAGTGAAATTCTGGCATTCCACGTAATGACTTTACTGTTCTCCCATTGGTGGTCATATAATTCTCTTACTAGTAGTACATTTATGCCCTTCCCATTTATGATCCTGACTAGTGGAATTAACTAAGTTAAAAGGAACAGCTCACCAGTAAGGTGTTGCCATACTCTCCCCATGTATGTTTTGCATTGTATTGGACACCAGTCTAATGGTGTGCCACTATGCTTTTCTTACTACTGTTCTCCTTCCCTAATGGGATTTGTGTTCTTATTTTAGTAATTTTCAAGGGCTCTTGGCTTATCCTGGAGTACTTTGCTGTAATATGTTGCAGACACTTTATATACAACCATTGTGTTAATTGCTGTTTCAAAAGGGTGACTAGCTAAGCACCCTGCCTCCCATTATAACTCAAAATATTGTTTATCCAAGGACCAACATTAGAATCCTCACATAAAAGTTCTATTGGAATCACATTTGGTCTTTGAGTAGGGTTAAACTGGAGGAAAACAGCTTGGCATTTTTCTACTGTTGTCTTCATAGAGGAATACAAGAATTCTCTACAGGTCTCTTAAAGGAGAAATTTGTAGACAAAGTTTGACACAGAGCTAGTCTGATGCTAGTTAAGTTTATTAAAGTATAATTTGTGGTGAATTTGTTACAGCTGGAACTTGCTGTGTAGTTGTCTCAAATGACGTTTCCATCCAATACCTTGTTTCGTAAGTTCTTAATAAAATGTTTACCAACATCTGCTTTACGCCCAGCATTAGTGCTACAGCACAGAACAAGTTTCCACCCTCAAGGAGCTAGTGAAACAGATAAGTAACTTATCTAAGTTGTTTATTTCTTCTATATCAGAAGTTCCTAAAATGACTTTCAAGGTGTTACAGCTATTTTTTTTTAGACTTCAAAAGCAAAATCTTATTTAAAAATGTGATTCCCCCACCAAAAACTTAACATTTTACATGGAGCTGTAGACCAAAAGTTAGGCTGAAAAGTGATCTCATCCCTGGTGCTACTTTATCTCCGTCTTATTTTTAATACCTTCCTAACTAGTGCCATTGGCCAAATTCTGGCAGTAAGTTGTGAAGGCCCCTAAGGCCTACTATGTTGGACCTACTTTTGTACTATAGCAAAGACCCTAATTTACTCAGAAACTAGTCTTAAATTCCTCTTTGATATGATTTCAACTAATTATCCTAAAACTTACTCTTCCCAGTATGTGCATTGCTACCCTCTGGGCATCACATTTCTTGACTCTGGTTAAACACCAGTGCCAGACAGTAGTAGTATTGTAAATCTTCCCACTTTTCTCAGTTTTTACTCAGTCATTCCTTAATCAAATTAGTGAAATTAAAAAAATACTGTATTTGGCTATTAACATGTATCAAGAAATAAAGATACCTTTTGATCACTTTACTACATTAGGGATCTAACCTCCAGGAATGTGGGCACAGATATACCAAGATAAGGCAACTAAAGTGGTGAGACATGGAAATAAAATATCAAGGCCCAGAGGGATAATGGTTAACTAGTACTATATCCATGTAACGGAATATTACATAAACATAAAACTGACATTCAGGTAAGGATGCAGAGTAAACTGGTATGGCCTTTTCAAGAGCAACTGAATAGTACCTGTCAAAATTTTAAATACATATAACCCTTTCACCAATTCCACTTCTGGGAATCTAGTCAACAAACAAGCTGTGCAGCCGAAACATGGTCAAAGATGTGTACTGCAGAATTTATGAAAATGGCATCAATTTAACCATACAAACTGGGAGATTATGGCCATCCATTCAATAGATACTTCTAAAAAAGAAATGCACTGCCACATATGGCCTTTCAATAATGCTAACTGAAAAACACTATACAGCATTAACTGTTAAAAGTCATATTTTTTAAAGGGGACTACAGATTTCAGATTTTCTTTTAAAACTTCTGATTTTCAAATAAACATTGAGAAATTTTTGACTTGAAAATGTTCAATGATTTCTTAAATAAAAAATGGACTGATAAATGCTCAATCTGTATATAACATATCAAAATATGTGTATCTTAGTATCAACGCAGAAAAAGGAAAAACTACACAAGTCTTTTCTATTACTGGAATAACAGTAATGTATCACTTTTTAAAAGGGGGAGGAGAGACACAACATCTTGGTTCTAACACATGAGTAATGAGGAATCACTACCAAGGGGGTAAGGGTAAACTCAGCCTACAGGCCAAACCACCACCCTCCCCCCACCCAGCCCCTGGCTGTTTTTGTACAGCCCACAAGCTTAAGAGGGTTTTTTACATTTTCAGTGGTTGAAAAAAAAAAATACATTGTGACAGGTGAAGATAGTTTATAAGAATTACAGCATGCCTATTTGTTTAGAATTGTCTATGGATGCTTTCTCACTACAGTGGCAGAGGTTGAGTAACCAAGACAGACCTATGGCCTGCAAAGCCCAAAACACTTACTGTTTCAGAATGAAGAAATGGGTTGCAAGAATTTGGCCCTACTCCTTTGGTTACTCAGTCCTAGTGCCTCCTGCCAAAACATAAGGAAAACAGCACCAAATTCAAATTTAGTACAATCAAACCATCATGTCTAAGCTGCTTCTGACCGGTGTAAAGTCTTGAGTAGTCTACTCTTGAACATAAGCCAGAACACTCTGTAAACTTGCTAGATTATAAGGAAACTTGAGTTATTGGGATTAATCTAGATCATGAACTATTTCGAAGAGTCACGTGGTGAGTGAGAATGGATCAGGAATATGTAAAATGGAAATGTGCTAGTTATTCTCCATGGTAGGAACCTGAGGACATCAATCTTTCATAATTTCTAAAACTCTTTTGTCCCATAGATAAAAATGATTAGCAGAGGAGAAATGTTAAAGCTCTTTAATGAGCACCATAAAATGTGCCTTTATGAGATGATGGGATTTAGTTGTTGCTCTGCTACAGTAAGGAAGGTCTAAATGTTCAGGCAATTACCACACAGCTCTACAACTAATCATAAATAATTACATCAAGTCCACAGAGGCTCAGCTTGATCAGCAAGCCTACATTCATACACCTGAAATGCTACACCAGCTGGCACACAAGAAATGAGATCAGCTGAAGGGTGCACAGCAAAGATGAAACTGCAGGGAGAGAGGACCCAGGCTCTTTATATTGAGTTCTATACTTAACAGGAAAAATTTTAGTTCAACTCCCAGTTTTGCATCCAATGGGAACTTGCCGAATTTGTAACATAAAGCTGTAGCAAAGCCAACTCATGGAACAAATCCTCCCAATTTCCAACCACAATGATAAAAATGGAAATTAATGCAGAGTGGGTAATAGTTAAGGAAACAAAGTATCACCAGTCTGGGTAGTGGAGTACAGATTTTTATTCTTAATATTTCTTTCAAGTTATTACATTCAACATGTTTTGCTTTTGTGATCATTAAGTCATTTAAAAAATAAACCCCTGATATAATTCCTTAAACTAAGCAGCATGCTAAACAGCTAAATGAAATGTAGTCCCAGCCCCAAAATACATTATTCCAATGAAATATTACACTTTTATTAAATAGACTGTTGAATTAGCTGCCCTATAATTATGGCATTTTATCTTTTTTTCTTTCTTTCTTTCTTTTTTTTTTGGCCAGCTTTTGTAGATAAGGCTGTAGTTTTAAACCATCTTTGATACTGCAACTAACAAAAAATGATGTGGCTAGAGTAAGTAGCCAAAAGATTCCTGAACCATCGAATACAAAAATAAAGCCAATTCCTATCATTCCTATGACAACCACTTAGCTAAAACTGTGTTTATAACGTTTTATAGAATACCAGGTTTCCCTCCCTACACTCTTCCTTCAATAGTGCTAAACCACAGCACCTATGGCTTTTATGTATTGATCTGTATTTTTAAATGCTTCTGAAATTTTGTATTAAAGTATGTTCTTAGTCTAGAGCAGGGTTTAAGTTCTACATATTTCAAATCTAAGATCTCATTAGGCAGCCTCTGAGAGGACCAAGAATAACTAGTGTGGAAGCAAATCACAACAAAGTAGACAACAAAATTTAAGAGTCACATAAAAACATAAAGTCCTGTTATCAGCTCAGGATTTCAGAGAAGTTCCTGAATGGGCAGAGTTGATTTTCAAGCCACTTATCAATGTATTCAGATTCTTTACCTCTCCCAGGGCTTTGCACATGCTGTTCCCCTGTCCGGAGGTGTGCATCTGGTTTGAATCTAGGGGAGCAGCCCCTCCCAAGCACTTACTTCCCATCTCCCTCAGAGATGCAGCTGCTCTTTGTTCACAACCCCTCCCCATGAGATTAAAAGGTCCACAAGGGAAAGTCCCATGCCAGTCTCATTCACCTAATCATCCCCAACAAGCAGTACAGTGTTGGGCATATATCAAGCACTTTTATTTGATGAACAACTGTCCATAAGCTTAGGAGTTACAAAGTCAAAGGCTTACATGGGAACAGAACTACAAAAAGGAGCACATGGGCTGGCAGGGGGCTCTAAACAACTGGAGAGTCACTGGATTAGAGAAGAATAACCAGCTCTTCTTAGAATGGCTGCTACATAGCTCCTCCCAGCAGATACCCTGCACAAAGGCAGGCCATGTCTGCAGTGCCAGATATTTAAGATCACTGAAGTTACCAGATTCTAAATTTTCATGTGACTCTCCCGATTTTTTTAAATTTTGTCATTGAATTCATAATGTTTTAACCAACCACACTGTGTGGGCCAAGGAAAACAGGCCCCAAAGCCAGATGTAGCTGCCAGTTTTCAAATTCTACCTTGACCTCTCCCAGAGCCCCTTAAATCCTAAGAAAGCTCTGTCAACACAATGGCTCCTGTTTCATCGCACTGGTTGAGAGAAGTATCATCTCATCAAAACAATGAAGATTCTTACCAAATTATAAAGGGAAAAAACCATGATGCTATGAAATTAGGAATTCACGTATTTGAAATGAAAATAGTGCATTACTCCATTTCTATGGAGTTCTATGACTCATAAACTCAGTAGACAGAAGAGTCCTATTTTACACAATTTTGTAGAGCAATAGATTTAAATCTGGAATTTTATAACTTATAAATCACTATGTAATACTAGCTATCATCATAAGCAGTGCCACCTCCAATGAATAAAGCTGATCTCTATTCAACTGCTTGGGTGGTCACTCATTTTGGCCCCAGAATGAGATTTAGTTTCCTTAGTTGCAAGGTAACCTCTAAACAGCCCAAGAATTGTTATAAATGACAACTTCTAAGTTTTTTAATTTACAATATTAGGGCTATGAACAATTTTATTCTGAATTAAAAGTAACATCTGTTTCCAAGCAATGAATTTATTTGGAAGGGTACCAGTTACCAGTCATAAAAACTTTCGTATGTTGAAAATGTAATTTTAATAGATAATTCTTCATCTTACATAGGAGCACAATAAAATACATCACATTCTGAAGAAACTCCAGAAGTTACGAGAATAAGAGTAGGGAAAATTCAGATGGGCTACAATATCCATTACCTTAAACTGCAAGAGACAAAGGTTCCAACCCACAGGTTAATATTTACATACTTATGACTGGCTACATTTATATCTTAAAAATAACAAGAACGAGGAATTGGATATGGAGGGGTGGGAAAGAGCAGTTCTGTGGGAAGAGGAACTCTGTCAATGCAGAAAAAACTGCTGAATATCAAATTAAAGAATAAAAGGAGCTCCTGTAGCAAATATTAGATGGATGACAGTAAAAAATCATTAACTGAAGATTTGATGCTCTCAAAGGAAGAAACCTTTCTGATGACACTTATGCAAGCTGACTGCTTGAGATCTGCTCATCAGGTCTATAAGGAAGACTTATAACTGCCTCAGCAAACCCCAAATGATTATCAGATTGGTGTTTCCTAATAACACACAGCAGGGATCACATATGAGGTTCTGAGACAAGAACTAAGAGAAAGGTCATAACTCAAAATGCCAGACACAAATGTGGCACATGTGAAAGTCCTACACAAAGCCAATCACAACTGTTGGCTGTGACTCTCCTGCACAATATTTAAACATCGTGGCAAGATACTGATGATTGCCTAACTAACCAGACAACACAAACACATTTATTTCAAATTTCTAGGAGGCAAAAAAAGGTCAGATACTGATGCTTTAGGCATGCTCAGGGCCAGCTTAATACTCCACTCAGTGATATCTTAACACAAATTTGCATCAATGAAAAGAAACCGGCAAAATCTACCTCTCATCATTCAATTTGTCAGGTGGTGAAGACCAAAACAATGTTCCATCAGTTTTAATTTTTAAATAAGATTGTCACATTGGGAAAATGAAATAAACACAGTAAAATAAACTGTACAAAGGCAAAGTAGAATAACAAAAAATATTTTACTAAAACATAAGATTTACAGAAGTTTCCAGACAAGCCATACAAAATGGTCACAAGCTTTTTCCTGAAAGGAGGATTCTACACTTGACAGCAAAGTCACAATGTTATTAGTGAGGGCTGTGATGTTTGTTTAATGTTCCCATTTTGGTTCAAACAATCAAGCTTGTCCATCTACGGCGTCTAAATAAAGTTAGACTTGGCTAGAGAGCATATTCTAAAGAACTGAGGTTAGCTGCTTTCAACCAATGCAATTAGATCACCATAAAAGGGGGAAAGGAGCCCATTTAAAATTAAAATAAACCTACCTCCCCCCTCAAAAAAATAATAAAATAAAGAAAAACACCCACACCCCTGCAGCTAACCCTGACAACTACCTTCATTCACAGTGCTTTATATACTTAAACCATGATGGGGGAAATGAATAAAAGCAGAGAAGGGCCACTGCTTTTAAACGTTTCACAACAATCCAGATGATACTTCTAGCCTCTGCTCATGCTTTACAACAGTGAATCAGGACAAGACAGATTTGCTAATGTGCATTTAATCACCAAAGGACTGAAGATGTCTGGGCTTTTTTTTTATTCTGTAATGTTTCTAAGACTGTGTCCATTAAATGCAAACAAAAAAGGAAGAAGTCTTGGCAGAACAGGAGAAGTGATGCACACTTGATGATCAGATCGATTTAAATATTATTCATGGCATATAGCCTAGTCCATGCTCTAGCTGCAGACAAAAACAAACATGCAGTTATTACTTTACTTAGTTCAGTATGTTTCTTTCCAAACTCTATAAAAAGTAAACACTACTAAGTTAATTGTGGAAATAGCATGCTGTAATCTCTTAAATTCATACTATTTTCTCTAATCTGGATTAGGGCAGAAAGACTGTATATCTCACTACCAAAACACTACAATGGAATTTAGAAGTTCCATAAAATTAACAGGATGACAAGAGCTGTCTCCTTCATTTCTAGATATATAATGCTCCCCCATTAATTTTGTTAAAATCTGTAGCAGGAAAAAGCTTACTCATTTCAAACTCCCTAGCTATAAACTGGTGCACATTTGATTTAATCAAACTGCCAAAACAGCTCAAGAGTCTAATAAGTTTTCCACTACCCTTACGTATTGCTAGATGAATGGCACTCAGGTATTTGTTTAAATCGTGCATAGTTTATACAAGAGTCCAAGATCTCCCAATTATAGGTTGTCTTTAAATTTGGGGGTCACATAGCAGGCCATAAGACGAAGTTGAACACCTTTTGATAAGAGGTATTTATATACTATAAGGAGGATTAGATTTTTTCCCTTTAGTATATTTTTTTTTCTTGTTGAGACCCTAAAAGAAGTCTTTTAAAAAGTAGTACAAGTTTGTTTTTAAAAGTGTAGGTGGTGTGAAGGAGAATGGATATTAAATACCTGTTTCTATGGCTTGGGCTTCATTGGTCTTCCACTGCTCCGCTACATCATTTGCTAATGGATCATCTGGATTGGGAGCACTTAACAAAGCCTGGATCGATAGCAGAACTGTGCGGATCTGCAGTGCTGGGGACCACTTATCTATGAAGGCAACAGGCCCAGAATGATCAAGCATGAAAAAACAGCCCCAGAACTGCTGTATCTCCCTCCCACAGACTTCTGTGGTCTTTATATAAGACTACAATGTTCAGATTCTTAACATGGAATGCTTAAGAGAAAAAGGGGGTCTTAATAACATACATGACAATAAAGATAACACTTACCTTTCAAAATATCTAAACATATTCTTCCCAACTTGTCTACATTAGGATGATAAATTTTGGTCATGAAACGTACTTTAGGGGCTGCCATTGGGTATTCTTCTGGAAGGAATAGTTCAAGTTTAAAAGTCCCTCCCTCAAAGGGGGAATCCTGGGGGCCAGCAATGACCACATGAAAATAACGGGCGTTGCTCTCATCTGGTTCTGCTTTAATGCCGGGAACTGGTTCTGCCAGCAAACGCTGGGTTTCCTACAAGAGAAAAACATAACACATTTGTGGAACAAATGTCATTTTGGTAAACATCAAAATAAACCTTAGAAAACCTCCCTCTTGGAAATGGACATAAAAGAACCTCTCCAATCTCCCAATGTTTTTTTATTTAGCTTATAAAATGTAAAGTTCAAAGAAAATATTTAAATAATTACAATCAGCTTAATACAACTGCAAATACTGATGACATCATATACATTCTAGCCACAAGTGCCTACAAGTATGTTGGTACTAAAATTAGGCTAATAAAGCTAATTTTAAACTCTAGGAAAATAAAGAAAATAACACTAGGATTACCATATAAGTAAGGCAACTTGCTCTATTTAAACTCTACCAATAAAACAAGCTGTTTTAAAAGTAAAAGTAGTTTTTAAAGCTATTGAAATCTCCCTTCTGAAAAACATAATGAAACTAAGGAAAAACAAGTGCTTGGGCACCCAAACAATGCTACAGAAATATATACAGCCACCATGCTGATTAGTCTGTAAAACTGACAATTAACCTCAAAGGGACCCTTACTGGTCCCCAACAATCTTATCATTAGTTGTCTTTCCATCTTTCTCCCTCTCCTAAATAATTATAACATGCTTCTTCCTCTCTGTTGAAACCTCCAACATCTTCATCCACATCCTCTCTTTTGGCTGGTAACACTGCTCTGTATTTCACGAGAAAACAGAAACCACCTTAAGTTCCCACTGAAGCACTTGTACACCAACCTGTCCGTGTGCTCTGCCTTTTCTCCTGTTGCTATGGATGAAATGACTATCACTCTAGGCTAAGGCCAACCTCTCCTCTAGATCTTATCTCCTTCTCTCCTACTCAAGGACACTGCTTTAGCATCTCTTTCCTCTCCTGAATCATCAGTTTCCCCCTCTTTATTGGATCTTTCCCCAAACTGTACAAACCTGCTGTAATTTCTTCCAGAAAGAGGAAAAAATGACCTTGACCTGACTCTCCCCCACCAGCTACTGCCCCATGACTTTGCTCCTCTGGGAAAGTTATCTATACTTGCTCATATCCAATTTCTCTCCTCCTCTCCTATCTTAAGCACAACTCTCCAATCAGGCTCTAGCCACTAACCTGCTTATTGAGGTCATTAATAATTCCCACACAGTAAATCAAATGCATAACGTTCATCTTAATTAACTTAAATTCAACATCTCACCCAGCTGGTCTGCCCTCTCCTTGCAAGGCTTCATCCAGCTTCCTGCAGCCACTCTCCTGGCTCTCTTTCTACTAGTCTGGCAGCAACCTCCTTGCTGGTTCCTCCCTATCTCCACAATACTCCAATACTGAAGTGCGCCAGTTCGTCCTAGGTCGTCTTCTCTGCCTACACACTTCCATAGTGATCTCATCTAGTCCAGTAAATTTACGTACTAAATATACTCCATACATGCTGAAGCCTCACAAATTCATGTGCTGCACAGATCTCTCCCTGGATCATGCTTCTATCATAACTGTCTGCTTGACATCTTCTCTTCAATGTCTAATAAGCACCCCAAATTTAGCATGACCTTCCCCATACTCAACCTACTCCTCTCCCAAAGCTTTCCTCAGTTAACCAGAAAATCCATCCTTCCAACTGACCCACCTTTTCCTTCATATTCCACCCACCTAACCTGATCAACAAATTTTGTTGGTGTGAACTTGGAAATCTACTCATGACTGGACTGCTTTTCACGATTCCACTGTTACACCTCTGATTCAAGCCACCATCAACCCTCACCTGGCACACTGTAACGGCCAACTAACTTGTTCTCCCTGCTTCTGACACTCCCCCACCCCCAAGAGGCTTTACATGATCCCTTCACTTCACCTACCTCTTATGCATCTTGAGCTATGTTTTCCCCACCCTGCCCCAACCCCACCTGCTTTGTTCCAGCCAGATTAGCTTCTTTGTAGTTCTTCAACCTGCCAGGCATTCTCCCTCTTCAGGAGCTTTGCGCTTGCTCCTCTTCCCCCAACTTTCTATATGGCTCACTCCTTCGGCTCCCAAGATCTTCATTCCAATGTGTTTTCTCAATTGATGCCCCCATAACTGAAACTGCAAACTCCTCTCCATCCTATCCCATACCCTCTCCCTCTACCCTTATCCCCCCGCACTTAATCTCTGGGGCCTTTGAACATAGTACATCTCACTTATTTTGTTCAGAATGGAAGTAACAGAAGAGATTTGACTACTTTATCTACTGGTATATGCTCAGCATTTGGAACAGTGACTGGCACCCTGGATATTCAATAAATACTTGAAATATGAATCTATTTGATGTTACAGAGAATGAGAAATAAATTATCAGAAATTTCACCTTTAACATTAAAGCAGTGTTACTCAAAGCAGGATGAGCACATTGCAAGAAGAAAACAAAAGGATCTACTCAGGTGTGGGACGAAATGATCTAATTTCTATTTATAAATAATTTATTTTTAGCTAGAAAAATGTTAATATTCAATATACATACAATAGTATGTGTAATTTTATATATTACATAGTATATATTAGTAATACATTTTCAACATTCTGAATAGGTATCTGTAGTTAAAACAGAACACTGCTGTATTTAAGCTTTCAGGTATGAAAAACAATGAATGAGAATATTGTACTTACACTGCCTTCACTTAAGAAAAATTATACATCTTACACCATTTCATTCTACAGCCTGCAGTGCATATACTAAAAAAAGATTTCTCTGTCAGCACAGCTACATACTGAAATAGTCCTAAGATGCAGACACAAAATCAAATCCTTCCCCAAAATATGTTAAACACATAGTCATTTGAAGTAATGCCTTTTAGTACTTAACTTCAATTTGAGACTAGGCTTTTTTGTTTTAACCATGACAATGCAAGGGCAAATGGGAAAGAAACTGAAATGCTATAAACTACTTTCAGCAAAATATTCTTTAGGTTCCAAGTAAAACATTTTTAGAGCAGTAAAAATCTTAAGAGGCAATAAAGAAGTCTCCCATCTTGGGAAGTCCTCCAACAGGTACCTAGAACAAAAGAGACTGGTCTTCATTTTTAGGGGGAAAAAAAACAGAGAAAATTACGATGAACAGTAGGCATAAAGGAAGAAGAAAAGAAGTGGATGGTAAAATTCCTTGAATGTTGACTCCTCACCTCCATCCTCCTGATTTGCCCCAGGTCTTCACATTTTTAGAAAGCCATAAAGAGGGAGACTTGGGGGGAAAAGAAAGCTGGGGTCCAAGAGCCCCAGAACACCACTCCTGGTTACACAAAATAGTATCAGCTCTATTCAAAGCTATAAAAAGCTGCCAGACAGACCTCTAAGATCACATCCCAAAATAGCTTCAAAATCACTCAGTACACATTGTCAGAGACAGATAGGACATTAATTTCCTCATCTTCAGTTCACCCTCAAAATTAGACAGTCTTTCTAAAGAATGTACACATGAAACATATCATGCGGCCTGATCAAGTAAAAGATTTAATCAGAACACATTCTAGAATAAGCTCTAGTGTGGAAAACTTTGTGAAATAGTTTTTATACGCTCTCAAGTTTTAATGGATTTTGAGACAATGAATAGATGCATAATTATTTGACTACACAGCACTGATTTCCAAAACAAACGCACAGCATAAATAACGGGAGGAAAAAGAATAAAATCCAAACCAAATGGAGCAACTCTCACTACAGACATTGTTGTCAATTTTTTTCCCTAAAAGGGCAAAAACTTGGGTAGGAAATAAAATCCTTCTTGCTACTACTCACACGTGGTTAACTGTGAAACACGTTTTAGTTTCTATTATTCTTTGGTAGAAAGACAGTGAAGTACAGTGTGATTTCTTCAAGTCTACAAGGAATTGATTCAAATTACAACTGCACTGCTTAACTATATTTGTGAGAAAGTAATTTACATTGCTCTGAGCCTCAGCTTCCTCATCTATATAGTTAACATTACCTCTCCTGCAGAGTTGCTGTGAAAAATCAAACGAGATAACATTGTAAAAGGACAAGTGAGATCACACATTAAGTCCATAGAAATATATATCCAACTCAAAAAGGAGGTAAGGTAAGAGCAAAGCACAGTCACAAATCTCAAGATTTATTAAATAACAGTGTTTGTTTTAAAAGAAAACGGAAAAACCTTTAGCTGCATTTTGTGATCCTATTTGTTTAAAAGCAATCCTGACACTGAATCCCAGATAGAACTGAGTTTAAGCCATGCAGAATAGGAAGTACGGTAGACTATATTTAGGAAATTAATTACTAAAAAGTAGAAAAGGAAGTATATAAAAATAGGATGTGAATTTAAGTGGCAACAAGATTAGGTCTCAAGGAAACTATCTCATCTTACAGAATGCATACAGCAGTTCATGCTACAAATACTTTTAAAAGGAATCAAATAACACATCAAATTGATCTGATCATCAATAGAGCTACTGGGACTCGAAGAGCAAATCCCAGAATTACATCCCAGTAAACTACAATACTTGACATTCCATCAACTAAATTCTATTAAATAGGATTCTTCCCATTTTTAGGTTCAATAATAACTTGTGTGCACTACGAAACAATCTAAGGTCTTACATATTTTAAGGCAATGAATTAATGAATTATGTACACTAAAATTTTTAGATAATAAACAGTATTCTTAGAAAAAGAATGGCAATTTGCATGTAAGAAACTTGGCCCAGTTATTAACCAACTATATATATACCCCTAAACCATTATATCTACAGCAATTAGGTTTCCCCCATTTAAAATATTCTCTGAAACACAAAACGGCAATTGTGGATCTTTCAGCTTATCTCACTTAAGATCTGAATATATTCCATAACTATCAATTTCATTATCACAAAAATAAGTCATAAAATCGAGGGATGCCTCAAAGATGCCTACATTCTGTCTACTCCAACTTCCATCATTATATCTTTAAATGATTCTAAAACATTAACAGGAGTTCCTTTTGCATTACTAATACAAGTCAATTTTTCATTATATATACAATTGTAAACTACGTGAGGGCATCCACAAGACTTTGATATACCATAAGTAGGCATTTAAAAATGTTACCAGTGATGTTTGAGTGTAATGCACCTAACATTTTATCCATGAACCCTGCGATTTTTACATGATTTTGCATATATAACACAATGAATTTTAGGAACTCATACAGTAGAACTGACCCTATGTATTGTAGCAGGCATTAGGAACAGAATCAAAGTTGTGCTCCATTTCTTCATTATACTGCTTCCTTACAAATCATAAGGCCAGCTAGAGGCACACTTTGAGAAAAAGGTCAGTGAATGCTTTTCTTTTAAAGCAGTGCTATATTTCAGCAGAAATATAATGTGACCCATGTGTGTAATTATAAATTTTCTGGTAGCCACATTACAAAGTAGAAAGAAACAGGTAAAATTTTAATATTTTATTTAACCCAATATATTCAAAATAGCATTTCAACAGGTAATTGATATAAAATTATTGATATATTTTACAATCTTTTTTCATACTTAGTCTTCAAAATTCAGTGTGTAATTTATACTCACAGCACATATCAACTTGAACTAGCCTTTTTTTTCATTTATATATTTTTATTTGGAAATGTTTCTATCTGTACAGTGAAACTAAATTTGAGAGACACTAGATGTCATTAGTTTGGATATCATTAGTTTATTATAAAAGAGAGACGTGGAAATTATTTACATGATGGAAAGATTTCAGAACTTCAGTGGAAAGGGCAGCTTCACGTGATGCCATTTCGATAGTGACATTTCAGTCTATGTATTTTCCAAGAATGCCACCATCTCTAAATAAGAAATAATCCTTGTCATCTAGAACTACTTTGGTGCCTCCATATTCTGCAAGAAGTACTTTATCTTCAACTTTCACACTAACTGGTTGAATCTCTCCACCCTTTCCTTTAGAGCCTGATCCAACAGCCACTACTGTTGCCTGCAATACTTTTCCTTGAGATTTTTCTGGAAGCATAATGCCTCCTTTGGTTACAGTTTCGGCTGCACTCCTTTCAACTAATACACAGTCAAAGAGAGGGAGAAACTTTCTAAATGCCTGTCCTGCATGACTCTGGTCCCCGCAGATCATACTCTCCCCTTCCCGCCGCTGTTCCAAGGAGAAACCCGCAGTCCAGCTCTCCGGACACGTGTGAACTAGCCATTTTTCAACTGCTCAATCTCCACAAAGGTCTAGTTGCTACCATACAGGACAGTGAAACACAAATCTTGGTGTATAATGATTTTACTTACAAGTCATTAAGAATAAATTAATAATTTTATAATTTAAAGAATAATTTTACAAGCAAAATTTAGTGGAGAAACTTTAAAGCATCATTATTTTCCCATCAAAAAATTCTATAAAAAAGTAATGTCAGAGCATCTGAATCACTAATAACAGGAGTGTAAGTGTTACTTTTTGTTACAGTCACAATGATTTGTTGAAATTTCAAAAAAACATTTCATGCACAAAAATTAATTTAAATAAGGAATGATTAAATAATAAGGGCTCATCATGAGGAGTAATTTTTTTATGGTCCACACTACCCTCTAGTGGATGTAAAATATCATCTATTTACATATTCTTCC